CTGACCTACACCGTGTCACCCAATTGCGGATATGCTGGGTATCCTGCGGAAGATTAATTTCGCTTAACATCATGCGGGAGGAGCTGCCTTATGGAGGGACGACTTCTTCTAAATTACAAAAAATGGTCCAAGAAATTGAAATCGTTGGAACTGCAAAAAATTCGTACCGCTTGTGCAACTGAGATGTCTGCAACATGAGATACTTGCGGGAAGAATACCCTTGTTCCAGACTCAACTGCTTTTTCCTTCAAACTTGCGATTTCGGTTTACAAAAGTGTTCAAAAATAGAAGCCATCTCGGTAAATAGATATCCTGCCCTCTGAATCTCTCAGAGGAACACTTCATTTCTGAAACATAGAAATTGCTTTTCGGTTTCGCTGTTAGGACGAATTGTCATGCTCATCCAAGCTCTACTTATCTGATTTCTTCTTCATGGAACTTAGCGGAGTTCGAAAATGTTCAGAGTCATTTCCACTGCAACGCATTGCAACGTCTACTTGCCTAGAAAATTTCGGATAGTGATGGGGAAAGAGAACGTGATAAACACAATTATTCATTTGCATGAAACTTTTTTCCTTTTGATCAGAGCGTATTATTATAGGAAGACTTTGTTGAACACAATGTTTTTTACAAAGTTACTGGGTGATTTGATTTTGATACCGCTGGGAGTTCTCGCACGGGATAGTGCTACGTATAATTGGCCATGGGAGAAAACGTCCTCAGGGAGATAAACGCCAACTTTATTGAAGGATTGTCCCTGTGCTTTATTAATCGTCATGGCGAAAGCCACTCGTACAGGGAATTGTCTTCGGCGGAGTCGGAAAGGAACTCTTTTGTCCCAATAGTTGTCGATTCGTGAAATGACTGCGAGCTGTACCAGAGTTTCCACCTTCATTCATGTTCCACTGCAAAGTCGTTAACCACATCGAGGTTTCTAAGTAGCATAACAATCGTTCCTTTCTTTAGACGTAGTTCATGTGGCGGCATGCCTGTGGGAGTGAGAGAGTTCAGGTATTCCTGCTGGAAAAGCTGCTCGCTCTGTCCCTCAGAATAAAGGGCTTCATCGATACTCTTGTAAGTGCGTTCGTCTTGTGGTCGCTCCACAGAAAGGCGTTCGAGAGCAACATCATTGAGACGCTGTACATGCGCATTTTTCGGTGCTAAAATAGCAGACTCGCCCAATTCTGATGCACTGTTAGGGTTGAGAGTCTCTCCAAAAATCTCCGTAACTATATCAGAATAGCACATCATTTCTTCAGGCACCTGAATACATCCATTGGCATCGTTACTGTCGCCATTACCTATTTCAAGAGACGTTCATGCCAATCATTTCCAGCTTCCCTTGCTCTCATGTTGACGGCCAAACGGTGGACAGAAAATAACGACCAAAGAACAGATTGGTGAACGCAGGCCTCAACGAAGTCCTCCCTTTGTCCATGCTCGACGACTGGCAGAACTTGACGAAAATCTCCGCCAATAATCATTACCTTCCCACCAAATGGCTCATCATTCTGCATAATGCCTTTCAAGAGAGCGTCAACGGCTTCTAAGGCTGCTTTTGGTGCCATGGAAATCTCGTCCCAAATGATCATGTCTGTTGCCATCAGCTCTCTAGCCTCTTTTAGTTGGCGTTTCATGGAGGAGCTTCGCTTTCCATCCCTAATATTTAACTTGAAGTAGGAGTTCACGGTTCCGTCCTCCTGGCAGGAGATTCGCGGCAATTCCAGTCCAAGCGACGCACGCGACTTGACGCCTTTTTCCGATAGCAATGTTGTACACGGTGTTGTATAGGTAAGTCTTT